CTCTGCAGCTCTTCTTGTCAATCTAGATCATAGCTGCAACAGTATCCTTTAGCTACTTGTCATGTTGAAAAGGTCTTTCAAGATGCATAAAATACTTGGAATAATTGCCCTATATAATCGCATTCTTCCTCTTCATACTGTTGAGAGTTGTTTCAAGTCTCTACAATTCTTCTAGATTTATCTCAGAACTTATGCTCCTTTCTAAGTTTTCTGCCTTCAATAGCTCATCACACTGTTTTTAATGAACTCTTGCTCCAACTCATGTCCTGGCTTTTCTATTGCTTTAATTTGTGGGAAATAACTTTTGGGTTCAGCCTACTCATCCTCATGCAATATTTCATGACACTTGAACTTATACTTTTAGTATCTCCTATTTTTGTTTTAAAAAATTGTGTTATTGAATAAGCACTGATGTAACACTTTCCACTCAGATATGCATAGGTCACTCCAAAAGCAATGCCTTTTAAATAGGGAAATGGAAACTACAACAGGTACAAAAAGCACAATAACAATATTCGATAGAGCAAGTTCTCACACCCAAAACAGTAGTTTTCAACATAGCCACCACCACTGACTATTCACACTCACCAGCCATTAACAAGAACCTACATGCTTCACTCATAATAATCTGTATGATCATCCAGGACATGGCTTGCCTTTCACGTTGCTGCCTCCACTGCTGAAACACACCACCCACCACTTCACTGTGCTCTCATCTACTGTTTGGTCTGCATAAATGTTCAGCAAGTGTCAATGAAAGTCAATGGGTGGAATCTTTTTCTGCATCAAGGAATTCAGTGCCACATCTCTGCTTCATACGTGCTTCCATGACAGCCACCATTGTGTCAGACTGCCTTCTCTGCTGCCATCTGCCACACAGCAACAACGTGTCATGGAATATTGGTGAGAAGGTTTAACCTCTATTGTCATACCACCAATATCCAAGTCTGACATCATAAGCCAATGTAAGAAAACATGTTTTAGTACCATCTTCTATTCAGCACTTTCATAGATCCACAAAGAATATCACAAATTCCAAGATGCAATCTTTGCTCCTCACTTCAACTGTCAAATTGTGACATCTCTTTAGTACAGGTTTTGGATTACCTCAGTTCTCTTGACAAACACTGTCTTTCTACAGACTATCCTAGAATCACTTACAACACTTTGGCGAAGTCTTTCACTCATTAGCTGAGATTCACACTTTCTACTTACCAATACTGTACGTTTGTGGGTTAATCCTTAATACCATCTTAGCTAGGCCATCTTATGATATTCCCCATGCAAATAGCAGAAGGCTGCCAATCTCCCCTTATATGCCATTGTTGATAGCAGTCTCTCTTACACAGTATTTGCTTTTTCAAGCATTTCTAATTGTGTTCAGGAAAATAAATTTGGCTGTGTACTTTATATAAGAATTGTATTTGTAACTGTACACATAACATTAGCAAGTGCAGTATAGCATTAGCATAAAACAGTATGTGTTCACAAGCCTGACACACCGTCTTTACTACATACTGTTTTATTTAACCCTTGACAGTAAATAAATCAAGGGCTTTTTCCAGAAAGCAAACTTAAAGTACAGTAAGAAAATCTGTGCTCAAGTCTTGGGAGATTCTGTGCTTTTAATACTGAAGTAAATCTTGCTCAGAACACAATAACAATTTCTGTAATAATATAAATCAGCGTATTTGAAAATGACGATACAATTTTAATCTGAATAGAACTATTAGAATACAGGGTGGAAACTATTCTTAGACACTATGCATGGGAATAAACCTGCCTAATTATTCAATTTACATCAGCAACTATTCTTTTTGTACCTATTTTTTTCTGTTATGAATTGCCAAAAAGAGTCTAAATGCCAACAGTGCATATCATGACTCTAGAAGTCCTAACTTAGTCTATGATTATGAGCACAGGCACACTGCTACTCACTTTGCTAGAGCTATGTACAATTTGTCAAAGTTCAAGAATTTACAGTAAACTTGATAATTGAAGTATGAAATCTTTTAGATAGAATTCTGTCCATAAATAGCTTAACTGGACAGGTTTCTTTTTCTATCAACTTAGCCCTCATAGAACATGGATGCTTAGCAGTATAAAACTACATGCTGACATATATACTCTGAATATTAAAAAATTATTCAAATAAAACTAAAAAGTCAACAGTAGTCTCCCACTCAGTCTCCCATAGAATTTGAAGCCAACATTCACAATAGTTTTACTAGATGTTGTATTTATAGTCCCTTTTTTCCCCCTTAAAAACATGAATATTGAATAAATACCGTAACAATATTATAACTATAAAATGGTCTTACATATGCTTTAGATGCCTTCTCACTTCCACTAAACCAAAACTTACAGATTAGTTAACATTTTTTTAGGAACTGGGGCTTTTATAATTGTTATAAATGTTCTTTACCCAATAATGAACTGAATGAGAAAAAGAGACAGAAAGAAATGATAATTGCATGTTTTATTAACTTCTCTTAGACGCGCATTTCTCTGCACACGCTGAATATAAGACCTTATGGTATATTAACATTAATGCATTTCCAATGGGTGTAAAAGATTAGTCATTGTTTATACAGTACTTGTTGCAGCACTTGATCAGCGCTCTGTTACTGTTTAACTGCTCAGATTAATTATTCTAGAGATGAGTAGGCATTTGAGTGTGTTTAGCACCTAAGGACTACTCTGCAAGAAAATCTTGTGAGACTTTCAGAAAGACAGTGTTTCTAAACACTGAAAGAAGGTTTACAAGCAAATGCCTTATTTGCAAAATATTCAGAACCCTTCTGAGGGCCTTCAGTACTAAAACACATATTATAAAAACCAAGCCCATTTAATAGTTAAAAAAAATAAAATAAAAAGGAGGCTAAGGATACAGGGTTCAGGCAATAATCATCATTGTCCATGTATTATGATTCTTGTGGTAAAAAGAAACAACTGACAGGCTCAAAAAAGTATACGGATGCAACTTTTATTTGGATTCTTTATTGAGAGGCAACTTTAAATCTATATTGATAACATAAGTGGTAATCTAGTATTACTTCACTTACCTTATAAAAACAGCTCTGCTCATTTCAAAATTTTTGTATTAAACATGTGAGATTTATTGCATATTATTGGATTATAAAGATTACTTTTTTACTTTTTTTTTTTTTTTTTTTCTCTGTTCCTTCAAGTATTGGTTTGGTGAATGCCAACATTAATCTCTTAGCATATATTACCTACATATTCACAAACCCATATGATGGCAGTGCTTACAGAATAGGTAATGTTCAGTTAAGCTTTTATACTTCGTTAATATATCAATGTAATTCACTGGTAAATGGCTTAAAAGCAACCAGTATAGAAACACATTCACACCATTCAAAAAACCTCCAAATACTCACCAAAAGACTGAATACAGGTTTCAAGAAGGTCTTCCAAAGTCGCCCCTTTGGCTAAGTGCCCCAAAGGCACCATAGTGACTTGGGTAAGATTTGAATGGCTGTGACAATGAGTGATCTGCTTCAGCTCAAGTGAAGATTCAGGGGCAGTGCTGCATCCCTGGGCAGGTTGCCTAGAAGAAAGCACAATAGTGAAGTAAGTACAAGGGTGAGTGACAAATTTTAAAGGACATGAAAAAGAAGGAGAGATTTAAAGGGCAATGAACTCCTTGTAGCTAGGTTAGTGAAAGGCACAGCCCTCCCACTTATAAGTGTACTTAAGAGTCTGCATGGTAAATGACATTTTTTTCCTGCTAAACACAGATAGTAGAGCACAGTTACAGCACTCTGCAAATGATCTGTCAGATTGCTGCAAATCTTATTTCTTTGCGTGTTACGTTTCCAATACTATATAAACTACAAAACAGGAGCATTGTTACACAGTAATCTGCCACCACATGTTTGTGTGATCATAAAAATAAAGGAGAAAAAAAAATAGCTTAATCTAACATTATTGGAAACACATTGTAACAAGACAGACCAGCTGCATTAATAGTGATTTTCCAAATGAAATTAAGTACCCAAATTATTAGTGCAACTTCACAGTGGAGCGTTTCACAATTTAAAAAGAAAAAAAGAAAAAAAAAGCTGGTGAGTTTTTATCCATTCTATATTATTAATTCCCACTAAATTGTTTTAAAAGTGCATGCATGAGTGAATTAATAGTTTTATAAGTAAACACATCTTTAAAAGAGATAAAAATGAAGAATGAACCTTGGCTTAGGCCAGTACTTTGCTCCTATTGCAATGTCTTAAGAGCTTAAGAATGTACATTTACAGATAATATTGTGTTCATTGTTTGCATGCAAGCTCATCATTCTGTATGAAATATTAAAGAAGCACAGTGTTCTGATACATGTTCACGTGCAAATAACAGGAACTGATTCAAAATCTGACTTGAGAGCATGACACTTGTCGTTTGCAAAATGGCAACAGCCACTGTTGTTTCAGTGAAACTTTGGGTTCTTTTCAGAATCAATGTGCAGTCCACCATATTCTTAAGTAAGTTACTGCAGCTTCTTCATGTTGCTATCTTAAGCCTTCATATGACTTTCCTCAGACAGAACACTGCTGAAAACTTTATTAATAAACAGACAGCCCCAAGAAAAAAAGGCATAGAAATGTATCCAGTGTGCATAAGACAGACAGGCAGAGGTGGTGAGGATATCCTGTACTCCTGGATCAGTTTGGAAATAGAGATGCCTAATGAAGACAGATCAGACCCACCTAATCTCAGTGAGTTTCAGGCCTTAGCTTAAAATTTCTGACTCACTTTTCATGCTGGAAAAGTCATAGAACTGTAGATGAGGTAATTTGACGGCCCACACGGCCAGCAGAGCCCAGACCTGACTGCAGAGGTAGGGGCCATCACTTAACTTTCCTGAAGCGAATCTGACACTGGCTATGCAAAAAATATTCTGTTCCCTTCCCCTTTTCTCTAGATTTCCCCGTCACTGTGCGATCTGACTTCCTGTTCTCATATAAAAAAAGAGCGAGGCCTGCTTAGCTTTCAGGGTTCTCTTTTTGCAAGCTTAACCCTCACCCCTCCACACTTTATTCCAGCGGTTCTTTGGTGCAGGGCACGCTCAGAGTTGCAGCAGCAGCAGATATGTTAGGTCTTGACAACAGTGTCAATACCGAGCAGTGAGCAGAAGGAAAATCATCCACGTCCTCCTCCAATAAGTTTACAACAATAACACCGTGGCCGACTTGGCAACGCTCCGCGGGTGACACATCCGAAACCGATCGCCACGTTAATTAGCGCGGATCCCCGCACAGCGGCTTTTCGGCGCGGAGAAGGCACTCGAAAAGCACGCCGGGCTCCCCGGTACGCCGCTGGGACCGGGACGGAGCCGCCCGCAGCGCTGACAGCGGGACGGCCCGCAGCCTCCAATCCCGTCGGCGGCACTGCTCAGGTAGCGGGGCCGCCTCTCCGGCTGCGCCGCACGCTCCGGTCGCGCCTTCACGTTTTCTCTCCGCACACGCGCCGCCCGCGCCCGCTCGGATGGGCGATCCGCTGTCCCGTCCCGCCGCTTCGCCCTCTCTCCCAGCCCCACGGAGCCCCGCGCCCCTCTCGCCGCCTCGGCCCCTGCGCTGCCAACTCACTGAGTTTCTCTCTTCTTGCCCAAGGTTCCCATGCCGGTGCAAGTTTCGGCTCCGCGCGGCCGCAGGGAGCCGGACTGCTCGGGGCGGAGAGGACAGCAGGAAGGCCCCGCGCATCGCCCCCGTCCCGCTTCAGGAGGAGCCTTAGAGCGGCTCGAGCGGAGCAGCCGCCGCCCGTGACAAGCGCAGCGGAGATCTTATCGGCAGGAGGAAGTGCCGAGCTATCGCCCTGCTTTTCTCCGAACCGTCGGCTTTACCAGGTACCCCGAGGCGCTCCGCTGCTCGCGTGCGGCGCGGGCTCTCACCCGGGGCAGCCCAGGGGGCCGGACCTGCGGGTCACGCGTGCCTCGCCGCTCCCCACCCGCGTGGGGCTGCTGCCGGCGCGCTGCGGGCGGTGAGGGCCCGCACGCGCCCCGCTCCTGCGCGCGCTGATTGGCTGCTCGGCGGCGGCGGCGGCGGCGGCGGAGGGCTGGGAAAGGGCTCTGGCGGCAAGGAGTCGAGTGGAAGAGCCGGGGGGCAGTTGCGAGGGAGGCGGCTGTGGTCCGGTCCCGGCCCGGTTCTGCCGGCGGTACGGCACGGGCGGCTGGCACAGAGGTGTGCGCTGCCGCAGGGCGGGCGCCGAGCTGAGATTCTTACATCGACAGTTACCGGTTTAAAGCACTTGCGCTCAGCTGCCACCTCTTACCGTCCTTCCAGCCTAACTGCTAGATTTCTTAAGCGCTTGCACTATTAATTGTCCCATTTCAGCCGTTTGTTCTTCTCACTTCAGAGAAGAAATGACCCGACAATAAAACTGAAAGTCAAACTCAAAGGTGCTGTACTGAGAAACACGGGTACCTGAGCAGGAAAGTCAAAGGGCACCCAGGCTTTGTTGTTCTGAGAGCTCTGTTTGCATGTGGAAGTTACTTCAGCATCAAAATGCTATCATACCTCATGCTGAGACGAGGGTGGTTCTCATAAACTGTTTCTTTAACTGGTAAGATTCAGATATTCTGAGTAATTCCTTGCCAGCAATCAGGACACATTTCTCTCCAGGTGTCCAAAATGACCAAATTCACCAAGGCCACAGCTTGCTGCCATTTCCTGAGGTTCATGGTGACTCTGGCTGTCACCACAGCTGTGGAAACCTGACTACAGACCTGCAAGTGGAAGGAAAACCCGGCATGCCTCTGGAAATCACCCCTGTGATTCACCGGGTGTCATTCCTCTGAGTAAGCATTGAGCTCATGTCCAGCTTGAAGATCACTGTGCTTTATGAAATACAAATACGTAATGTACATCCAAGACCACGAGTCATGTCTGCAATGTTCTCTGCAGCATCTATGTTGGTAAGCCAATATCCCTGCCTGCTTCTACTTTAGACAGGTATATCCCAGCTTTCTTTGCTTTTCTTTAATTGTAGTTCCCTTGAGTTCATGCACATGCATACACTCATAAACAAATGAGTACTCTCCAGCTTTTTTATCAGGAGTTAATCCATAATGAATCTTACACAGCCTTATACAAAAATACATTTGCAACTTACCTGTACAACATCCTGATGTGCTGATCCATGAATGTAATATTCTCCAGGCAACATGCCCTCCTGTTGTGAAGTAGGTTAATACCTTGTCTGTGTCCAAACCAGGCTTGCTCTACTGAAGAGCAAGATAATTTTCTTTTTCTTCTCAGATCTGAAGTAGGCAACTACTTTACATTTAACTTGTGATGACATGCATGCATTCTTCCAGTAGCTTTCGCCTAAGTCTATTTTACTTATATCTCTGTGAAATCCCAGGTCAATAACAAAGGTACTCAAGTGTCCTGCTGGAATGGCGAGTGAGAAAGTTCCCTGGTGGTAACAGAGGGCCCTACAGGATGGTGGGGTCAACAGATGTTGTTAGGAAGGCAAGCCAGATAATCCAGTGTGGGAAGCAGCTCCAGAGAAGGAGAAAAGATTGCTAATACAACTGGAATGAAGGACAGCATATAGAAAGTATGAAGACCCTCTGCTGGATCAACTTACATTATGAAAACAAGTAGTAATCAAAATAATTGGGTTTAGTAAGCTCTCTTCAGTTAGAGCTGCTAGCAATTCTATGTGGAAAAAAAATAATAATTAAAAGGTGATAAACCAAAAGTGGGGCTATCATGTGTGATCAGCTTTTACAAATAGCCTCCCTACTGACAACATCATGTAAATGTGCTTCCCTATTATAACTGAAGTTTGTAGCTGTTAAAATGCCTCTTCTTAGCATGAAATTTTACCTGTGTTGCAGCTAGTAGAGCACTTCTAGTGTCTCGTTCCAAGCCTGGTTCAGGATATTAATCAGGGTTATCTAGAATTTTGATTGTTTTCACTACCTTACCAAAAGTTTCTATTCTTAGAAAGCTTCAATGTTAGTGAAGAATTTAATCTGATAACCCTACTGAGGTTATCAGACAATGGCAATTCCCTCTGCTGTTTTCCTCCTCCTGCAGCTTTGCCACAGGGGCCAGAGATGAAGTGTTGCCCTTTCTAAAGAAAGGTGATTGATAGCAGAGTTAGTATTTGTGACTTTACACTTGTGTCATGATAGGATTATCTTCCTTCAGCAGTGCATGTTCTGGGACAACTCTCTGGACAACTATAGCTTTTTAAACAAAAGGGTGTGGCAGTAAAATTCATCCTTATGACTGCAGAATGAGACTCAAAAATATGAAACTGAAGCATTCAGAGAGTACATAGCAAATTAAGAGGGGTGTGAACTGATTGTTTTTAAAACGTGTTTTTTAAGTCATATTGAGAAGACTGCACTGATCTTGAGTGCTTTGCGTCGTCAATAATGTGACTGTGAGACTCCAGCTTTTTTGTTAGAACAGAAAATATGGAGAGCACCCAGTAGCATCTGGCTCCTTAAGTTTAGAACCACAGGTTTCAATACATTATATGTTAAACAACTTTAAAAGTTAGTAGCTATGCTACTAATAAGTATAGCTATCCAATCTATCTCTATACTGAGGTTTCTGAGGCTGTAAAGGCTGCTTCTGTCAAACACTTCAATGGCCAGTTGTCAATATTGAACCCACTGAGGAATTCACTTACAGAAAGTCAGTGCAAATCAACTGATTCTTCTTGCATCTTGGGAGACCTTGAGCATATATAGGTCAACTTACTTTTAGAATTAAGGCTGTAAGACAAACTAAATACAACTGTTTCTCTTTTATCTGTATGCCTTTAAACACAGTGAGTGCGGAGGGATGTATCACTGAAAAAATGTGGAAATTTATATAAAGCAGTGTTATACAATCATCCAATGCTTAATGGTGTCTATTTTGTTACAGGTATTTGCCAGTCATGAATTCCCCACCACCCTCAGTGAACAATTAGGCTGATGATTACAGCTGCTGTGAGTCATTTTGTCAGTTTGAATGCTAAAGGTCTGTGGGATGGACTGAATGATTCCAGTCCTACTAATGATCCATGTGGGTGTGAACATGCCACATGATGGAACGTCTGTGGTTTTGAGTCTTGGAAATTACAGAGAAGGCATAGTTTGTAGGTAAAAACAATATCTTCTATTAGACCAACTGGCAGTCAGAAAAAGCATGATTTGAAGAGGGTTTCTGCAGAGAACCACAGAAGCGAAAAAAAGAATAGGTTTGGAAGGGACCTCAGGTAGTATTTAGTCCAGCCTCCTGCTCAAAGCATGGCCAGCTGTGGGACCAGATCAGGCTGCTGAGTGCTTTATCCAGGTTACTCTTGAAAGCCTCGAAGACCCTTGGAGAGCTGTGTAATCCAAAATTAGGAGATGGATTTGTCTCAGTGCATGTATGGATGTTGATACTGCCTGAGCCTATAAAGCAAGATGCAATTCCCTTCACTAGCACTCCTGCTTCATTCAGATCCCAGTATGGATATGTATGTAATAGGGGGGGGCACATAAGGAGGCACACTGGTGAAAAATATTTTCAGCAGCTTTTATTCCAGAGGTTAGATGGCTTGAAATCATTAAAGAAGAAGGACTGTAGAAGTAAAGATTTGGTCTGGTGGATGAGATAGGTCTCAATTATCATTATTTATTTGTGCAGATAATTTTCAAGCTAGTGATGGACAAGTCTTGAACTTTCAACTGCAACTTACTAGAAGATAACTGAAGGGTTGAAACTGTTAGATATTTCTGGTTTTCATCTAGAAGACTTCAAAAGAATAGAGTAAAATGACTTGTTTAAGTAAGACCAGCTTGATAATATAGCAAAACATCAGGTCTAGTAAGCTAGGAAGTGCTATTAACTGGTAGAATTCTTCTGAATAGGACCACACTTAGTTTTGTATGGCTTTGAGGCTCTGTCCTGAAAGTAACATCTTGGCCTTTCTATTGAGTAAACACTTCAATGTTTTCCTATTTAAAAGAATGCAATCAGCAAGCATTGATTGTCTGCCTACAAGTACAACTAAACTACCTTGCATCAATGTCCGGCCATTTCAGCAGTAGCCAACATTTTTGAGATATTATGATACAGTAACATTCAGTGAAACGTAATGATTTGACTAACTGAAATCTGTGTTCTGTATTGCTGAAACCAGAAATACACTTAATTCTGCCATACAAAGCCTGTTTGTACTGTGAGTCCAGGAGCAGTGTTTTCCTAACGTCTATTCCCTTACAGAAGTCCATAACAAAATTGTTTTCCTTTACAGTCTTTCAGAATTAATGTATTTTATTAGTTTTGATTTAGGCCACCAGGACGCTTAGATATAAATAAATTTATGAGTTGATTTTGATAAGAATTGCACAAAAACAAATCTCCTTCTCCATACCTCATATGCCCCTCACAAAACCCTAATCATGCTGCAGTGCCTTTTTTTTTTCCTTAAAATGTGTGTGAAATATGGATAAATGAGGTGAAAAACATCCGACACCTTTGAACAAACTACTGTCCAGAAGTGGTGAGACTCAAAGCACAGAAAGGAAAAGTATAACAATACTACTAAGAATGCCTCTTTTAGTTCACCATCTGCTTAAAAGAACAAAACAGCTGCTTGAACAGGATGTAGATAACATCATTCCCTATGTCCCTTTGTAAACATTTTCCAAGGAGACAGTGATTAGCTACTTCCTTTACAGGATATCTCTTGGTCAGCACCAAGAAGAGAGACACACTTTATTAGAAATATAGAAGTGAATTGTTTTAACCTTTTTAAAGTACTTTCACAGATAAATTGTTGTGGCTCAGACAGTACCTTTGAAAGCGTGACAGGATGAAAGTTGGGCTCAGTGAAATGTGGGTTCTTTGGTGTTTTGGTGGTGTGGTTTAATGTAATACTGTTTTTCAAATACCAACCCAAATTGCAGTGATCCTTTGAATAGGAAAGAAATGTAGATACATTATTTCCATCAGACTGAGCTGATTCAAAAGTTTCAAATGCAATGCACAAAATCTGATTTTGCTTTTGTGGAGCTGAAGGCCAGTATTAATGATTTTGCCCGCAGTATTTGCCGTGGTAGGGATTGTGTGAAGAAGGAAGAGTGACAGATAAGGAGAAAGAAGTAATCACAGAGGTTTCACAGGATGTGGATGTTTTAGGAATGGTGTTTCTCTGCCCTTTGCTGCCTTTCTGATCTTATAAGCAGGGCAGAAAATATTTCCAAGGGGATTTTGCCCTGAAGTACAAGTTAGTGCTAATTTGAACTGAACACTGATTGAGTGATGAATGTAGGTGGACATAAAGCAGTGCGTCAGTAAATTCCAGATTCCTCCAGACCACCTTTCCTTTTGTATTGCCTTTGGGGAAATGCTCTTTTCCCTTCCAACCTGGTTTGCTTACTCTTGCCTCTTCTCTTGGTGTGCTCAATATGAAACAAGTGAGGAAGAGTGGAAGCAAGAGAGCAGGAGAGAAAAAGCATCTTCTCGCAAACACACCCCAGCGCACTGTGGAGCTCTTGGTGCTGGGGATCAGCGGAACAGGGTTGTGAATAAAGGCAGAGTGGCTACAGTTAATACCAGTGGTTGCCAAGGGCTTTCTGTCATCTGTTGTTATTGATACAAGAATTAATGGAAAGTTGGCCATTATAAAGGAAAGGAAAGGAAAGGAAAGGAAAGGAAAGGAAAGGAAAGGAAAGGAAAGGAAAGGAAAGGAAAGGAAAGGAAAGGAAAGGAAAGGAAAGGAAAGGAAAGGAAAGGAAAGGGAAGGGAAGGGAAGGGAAGGGAAGGGAAGGGAAGGGAAGGGAAGGGAAGGGAAGGGAAGGGAAGGGAAGGGAAGGGAAGGGAAGGGAAGGGAAGGGAAGGGAAGGGAAGGGAAGGGAAGGGAAGGGAAGGGAAGGGAAGGGAAGGGAAGGGAAGGGAAGGGAAGGGAAGGGAAGGGAAGGGAAGGGAAGGGAAGGGAAGGGAAGGGAAGGAAGAGGGGAAGAGGGGAAGAGGGGAAGAGGGAAAGAGGGAAAGAGGGAAAGAGGGAAAGAGGGAAAGAAAGAGGGAATTGCTTAGCCATAGGCTGAACTTTGTGAGTTTTGCGTGTATGCATATGTGATCTAGGACAATCATGTTCTCATGAAGGGATCATAAGATCTGCTCCTCAATTTGCTGGAATTAAAAGACGCTTTATAATAAATTACATTGGGAACAGAATCAGGCAGATGAATACAGTACTGTACATTTTGAGTGAACAAAATTGTAACAGTCAATTTTGGCTACATTTAAAATGAATACAGGTCAATTGTCAGATACCTGGATCTAAAATCCTGCAAGTTTTTTCTCAGCTGCTAAAACCTTTTCCTCCACCTCCTGGTTTTATGTCTCCTTACCTTTCTAGGTTTAAAGCACCGTGAATTACTTTCTGTTACAAAGAACTGCTCAGAATAACAATATTGCTGAATGACAATATTATCAAATAATAGTATTGTCAAACATTACTGTCGCTTTCTGGATTAGAAACATTGTCAGTTGCTGGCTTCAGTTTTAATCAGAGAGAATAGCTGTAGCAATACTGAAAATAAGGTAAATGCAAATATATACCCAAATAAATATTCACTAGTGTATCAGTCTTATGATTCAAAAATATTTTGGCACTAGTTCAGCAAACACATTTAAACCCGCTCTTCTTACAGGCAGGGAGAGGCATAGTCATATGCTGAAAATTGAACTGGTTTAAAGAAAATCCTTATTTGCTTTGAACAACTCAAGGAGCAACATTAAGGGGTTCCTACAGAACCCCAGAGCAAGCATGTTTTTAGGTTAAGGATCTTCTACTTTCATTATAGCTGTATTTGTAAACATTCAACTTAGAAAACAATGCATAGATGTCTATGTATGCTCAGCACCTTCAGTGCTAAGATTTCTGGCAGTCAGGCTACAAGAAGGCTAGGAAAAGTCTCCAAAACTTCTAGTAGCTCCAACTGGAATTTGTGTGTTTGGTTTTTAAATTGTCAGTTTACAGCTTTTATTTTGTCCTTCCAATGATTTATTAAAATAAAATAATAATTAATTGTATCTTTCTTTGATACTTCAGAGTGCTTCTAAAATCCAAAGGTATGAATCTGAACAGTGAGGTCTTACAACAACCTGGAAATAACCCGTTAGTGAAAAGTAAAGATTCTGGCAGTGTCTGAACATGGTTGCCTGGGTGTGTTTTCTGTTTTCCTATCTACCTGTTCTATTTTATCTTCTTGGGAATTTTGAAGGGGCGGTTGTCAATGTTTGTTCAGGGTGACTAACAGGTTTTAAAAAGGGATTTGTGCTATTTCCTTGTCAAATGCAAGCATGTTTCAAGATTTGAGCTTAAGCTTAGTAGTATCAATCTTAAAAAAGTCAGAAAACAAAGAAGAAGAGGGAAAAACATTGTCAATAAATTGCATGACTAATAAGTCAGAGTAACTGAACTAGTGTATTCTAATGCAGATTGCCTTACGTCACATTTAAGAGCATGCCAAACATTATTATTCTCAGCGCTAATTGCATCAGTTACAGGATATTATTTAAAAGTGTGGACAAAATTTTAATACTGTTTCCACAGTGCAGGGAAATGACAATATTGAAAGAAAAATGTGCATAAATGAAAGTCAGATTCTACCAATATTCAAATCATGGTTTTACAAGGTGTAAACTAGCTGTATACAGGCAGCAAGCCCATTTAAGATCTTTTATCTCTGTTGTTGTGGCAATGGAAAAACAGTTCATCCACTACTGAGGATTCATTTTGACCCTCCAAAGAGAAGCACTCGTATGCCACGGTGGCTTAACATTATACTGGAAGTCAAGCACATGTAGATGTGCTAAACCATTTCATTTTCATGCAGATTTTCTAAACTGTGCTGCGCTGATAATTGTGGTAATGATGCTGAAATTAACAGATGCAATTTGATTATATTTTATATGCTTAAATAAGAAGTTGCTCCATAGGTGCTGCGTAAAT